CTCAACGGGACACCACGGGACATCTGTCGATCTCACGATCGATTTCACTATCGATCTCATTTTTTTGGACACCATAGGACACCTCGGGGCACCACATCGATCTCACTATCGATTTCAGTATTGATCACAGTATCGATCTCACTCTCGACTCATTCAACGGGACACCACGGGACACCAAGGGACACCGCGGGACACTGCCGGCGGGCGGACGGACGGGCGGGCGGGAGAGAATCATTTGTCTTGACTTCGCCCTACCAACGACAGACACCAAGGGACACCACGGGACACCACGGGACACCGCGGGACACCGCGGGCCACCCGCCGGTCGGGCGGGAGGGGGGGAATCATGTGTCTTGCTTTCGCCCTAGCAACGGCGGGTTCATCCCTTTCGCGCGCCCATGCAACTCCGCCTCGACCGCACGCACGACACGATCGAAACGAAACGATTTCCCGGTTGGGGGTCTCCGTTCCACTGCGATCTCACCCTCCAATTTCCGACATTTATATTTATACGACCACCATTCGGGTGATAAAGAGGTTCGGGGGGGGGAGGAACCAACGTCTCATTCGATCGGTCTCACTATCGATCTCACTATCGGTCTCGCTCGATCGATCTCACTCGATCGATCTCACAATCGATCGCACTCGATCTATTTCATTCGATCGATCACACAATCGATCTGACTATCGATCTCACTATCGATCTCAAAATCGATCTCGCATTCGGTCTCACTATTTATATCACTATCGATATCACAATCGATCTCACAATCGACGTCATCGTCATCATCAACAACATCATCGTCATCAACCTCATCAACATCAGCATCATCGGGACACCATCATCATCATCACGTCATCACCATCATCATCAATATCAGCATCATCACCATCATCATCTTCATTATCATCGTGACACCATCATCGTCACCATCATCATCAACATCATCATAAGGACACCACCATCTTCATCGGAACACCACCATCATCATCGTCACTTCAGCATCAGCATGAACAATATCATCAACATCATCATGATCGGGACACCATCATCATCAGCAACACAATCATCAACATCTTCATGACCGGAACACCATCATCATCGTCACCATCATCATCACCATCATCATCATCGGGACACCCTCAGCAGCATCAACTTCAGCATCATCATCATCATCACCATCATCGGGCCACCATCATCACAATCATCATCACCACCTCATTATCATCCTCAACATCAACCTCATCATCATCATCGGGACGCCATCATCATCAACATCATCATTATCGGGACACCATCATCATCACCATCATCATCAACAGCATCATCATCAACCTTATCATTCTCATCATTGGGACACCATCATCATCTCCATCATCATCATCATCATCTCATCCTCATCTCATCGTCATCAACATCATCAGGATCATCAGCATTATCATCAGCGGGAGACCATCATCATCAGCAACATCATCATCATCATCATCGGGACACCATCATCATCACCACCATCACCATCATCATTATCATCAACATCGCAACATCAGCATCATCATCATCATCGGGACACCACCATCACCCCCATCATCATCATCATCATCATCATCATCATCATCATCATCATCATCATCATCATCGTTATCATCATCATCGTCATCATCATCATCATCATCATCATCATCATCATCATCATCATCATCATCATCATCATCATCATCATCGGGACACCGACGGGACACCGGCGGGACACCAGCAGGACACCGCGGGCCACCAGACGCCAGAAGGGAGTCATTTGGTCCGGCCTCGCCTCAGCCGGAGGCGGGACACCGGCGGGACACCGCGGCCACGGGTTGCCGGAAGGGAGTTGGTCCGGCCGCGCTTCAGCGGGAGGAGACTTTCTTCTCGCCCGCCCACTCAGCTTCGCCTTGCCCACACGCGCGGCCCAAACCGATTTCCCGGTAGGGGGGGTCTCCGTTCCACTCCGATCTCACCCCCTCACCTCCGATCTATATATATATATATATATATATATATATATACATATATCTATATATATATATATATATAGATCCATGTATGTATATTTGTAGCCATGTAGCTTAGCTGCCTCGATAAGCCCGCATGTAATGTGAGTGTATATATATATACATACACATACATACATGCACACATGTATGTGTGTATATATATACACATATATATATATACATATAATAGAGAGAGACGGAAAGAGAGTCGGCGTTTCAGGCCAGGGGGGGGGTCCAGGCTCCTTCCCCCATGGCGGTGCCGGGGGCTCCAGGAGCTCTCTGTTCCACTCCAAGACGACTTCGATGCCCTCCAAAAGGGTCAGGATAGCTCAGGATGGCCTCAGAGATGCCTCCAGCACCGCCAAGCAGCCCCCAACACGCCCCAAGAGGCCCCCAACAGGCCTCCCAAGAGAGCCCCAAGAGGCAAACATGGCCCAATTCCAGGCGGAAAACGTACATTTGATATACCGTATTCGCCTCTTGGGCTTTCACAGCGTCCTAGAGGGCCCGAGACCCCCCCAGGATCAACCCAAGACGGCCCAAGAGGCTCGCAAGAGGGCTCCGAGACGGCCGAAGAGAGCCCCAGGACACCTCAAGGAGGGGCCCAGGGGGTCCCCGAACGGTTGGCCCACAACGCCCCACCTTGGCCCAAGAACCGTCCGCGTCAGCTTGTCAAGGGCCTGTGTCCAGGATCCGTTCGCTGTGACCGGCTTCACGTTCCAGAGACACTTTTTGGACAATTGCAAAACAAGGTGCTACCGCTTCCAGGGCCCATGGAGTGCCTGGCCCCTTCCACTAGGCTGTGGAGCACGATCCGCGAACCTATGTTTGTTTGTTGATCACTTTTTGTGCATTCTCTCTCTCTCTCTCTCTCTCTCTTCTGGCCGAGGTGTTCGGACGTGGCCTTCTCTTGGCCCCCGAAGGATCCCAGGGACCCCCAGAAAATACATCCGAAGACATCTGGGGGCCTCCAGGAGACACTCTCCCTCTCGCTCCCCCCCTCTCTCTCGCTCTCTCTCCGTTGTCCTCTGTCTCTTCTGTTTTATGTCGCTGTTTGTTTGTTTCTTTCTCTCTCTCTCTTTTTCTCTGTCTTTCTCCCCCTCTCTCTTTCTCTCTCTCCCTCTGTTTTTTTTCTCCCCTCTCTCTCTCTCTCTTTCATCATCGGCGGAGGAGGAGCGATTCGTCAATACGTTGTGTTTCTGACGATGGTTTCGACCTATGTATGGTATCTGCGCTCAGAGCTTCCGGGCAAGAGGAGAGATCCACCAGCTGCCACCACGACATTCCCAGCATGCGCAGCTCATGCCTCAGGCAATGATCAGAGGGGGAAAACACAGACACAATTAATTGTCAATTCCACAGAAAATTTGAGAAAATAAGGGCAGTGGGGGGGAAGACAAAGAACCCAGAAAATATGGGAACATATGGGAATCCTGTGATTAGTGTCTATTTATGTGTGTGTCCCAGGGCCTCTTCAAATGATCCTGCTTCAGTGGTGGATTGTGCTACTTCAGACACGCATTCCGCCCAGTTCTTGTGCAGATAATGCTGATGTGAGAGCAGCTGTTGTTACTGATCCTCGTCGCTAGTTCTGTACTAGTTCTGCTATGTCTGCGTATCCTTCTGACAGTATTCCTTCTCTCCTGCAGCGAGGGGTGGTAGATGGAAATGGCCGCAGGTGCTTGCGATGTCATTCGTGGACACCAGCTTCCAGCGCAACCCCCTAGCTTTCGACATCTACCGCTCACTAGGAGGCTGGTCCTCACAAACACGCTACGTCACGGTGCATTGGGACGAGGACTTCCTAGGCGTTTACTATTTCGCAGAAAGGACCGGGCTATCCTCATATGCATGTGATGGATCTTTGCACAGTGACTTCGGTTGAGGCAGCGTGTTCGCGCAGGTCCATGAGGGCGGCGGGTTGCTTGCGCCCGCGTCCTTAGGGTTCACGAATCGGCAGGTTCTCCATGGTAGGCTCTCGAGAATAGGAACTTCATGAGATCCCAAAGATCGATCCTATCAAGGACGGAGCCGCGCATTGGGGATCGCGTGCGACACTGTAGGAAATTGCCCATGTCCACGGCATAACGAGAGCTACTGTGGATTGAATTGGAATGTATATTGTTGCGCACGGGTGTGATCATGAGGATCTCGAGTGTCGCCGCCGCACTATTACAGTATCGCGAAGAAGGTCCCACTCTCGGTTGCACAAGCACACCATCCTTTCAATGCTTGTTTTTTATCGGTCGGTGCATCTTCTGTCGCGCATTGCGGCTAATCATGATATTTCCCCATATTCTCGTGAGAGGGCTACAGGATGTGTGTCGCAAATTGTAAACGACACCCTTGCGTAGTAGTTCACGAGCTTATTTGATGTCGACGAGACCAGCGTCGTATTTGTTGCAAGCGTTTGTCTCGCGTCGTCACGGCACGACGCAAATATCTGCAACACATGTTTTCTGGAAATAGAGCACGTACGATGTCTCGTTGCCTTTCCCCTTCCCTCCTACGTGGCATTGAGATGTATGCGTAGAGTTGGATACGCGGGCGGTGAAGTTGTGGCTCTTCTCAGCTGTCCAATCTTACATCGAATCCTTCTGGCTTGTTCCAGGCAGGGTTTTTTTCGGCGGGAATGACAGGCTGCACCCTCTTCAATGGCAAAATCGAGCGTTAGCTCGCAGGAACCGAATCCTGAGTTTTGGCACTGTCGTCGCCCTCGGAGTGGTCAATTCAGTGACATCTTCAGCCTGGAATGAGGAAGACAAGCATTCCAGAATGATTCGGTGCGAGCGCTGGCTCTCAACGGGAACTGCTTCTGGCGATGTGCAGGCAAGAGGCAGCGTTGCTCCTGCCCCCTTTCCCCCGAATCCCCCCGAGGATCGAGCGCGCCCCCGGGCGACTCCAGATTCCCGAGTCCGACCCTGAGAGCCCAGAGCAGTCGGGCTACCTGCTGACCGTCGACTGGCCGAAGGATGGCGGAGAGATATCAATCTCTTTCCGTGCGCACCGCCCGTCCTGCCCGTGCCTCTCCAGGAGGAGGGGCCGTGTTCAAAGTATGTGTCCCGGTAGACCGTCTGGCCACGATTGATCCTAAGCTCGGGGGCGGCAAAGCGGGGGGTGACGACTAGGGGGGGGGGGTGGATTTCATGGCGCGGGCCATGATTTTTCCCCAGATTTCATGGCGCCCCTTCTCATTTCGTTACGTCCCTGGTCCCCCCGCTGGGCCGCGCACATGCCCCCGGTCATGATTTGCACCTCCCCCTCTTGGACACCCCCCTCTTGGCCGCTCCCGATTTATCCTCAGCGCCTTCCAGCGTCAAATGTCAGGCAGCCTGCGCCTCTGATCACCTTGCATTCCCCAGCCTCCCATTGACCAAGGGCGCTTCGGGGCGCGGAGTGATTCGCCTTTTGCTTTTCGCGGCTGGGCTCAGCTTCCTCTTCGCCCTCTTCTTCTTCCCTTGAGGGCGGCGCGCGAGAGCGCGAAGCTGTTCGCGCTTCACGCTCCGCGCTGCGCGAAGCGCGAAGCTAGGCACCCTTGTTGACACTTTCCTGCCCCACGCCCCTGTCGGAGGCCTAGAGGTTGACACCAACACCAACATCGGCGGTGTGCCTCCACCGAGGGAAGATGCTCCCGATCTCGTTGATGCTGACGCGGAAACCGAGGATCATCTTCCCCCTTGTGGAGGCGAACGCCCTGTGTTGGTGCTGGTGCCATTCCCGAGCCTCCAACCCTGCCTGCCTCTCCCCCCCGCGCGCACCGGCGCGCCATGCGCTCTCGACCCCTCCCCCAACAAGGAGGGGAAGACGTCAGTCAGCACCGGCGACACGTCCACCGCCTTCACGTTCGTCTACCCGAAGCGGCCGTCTCCCGACCAGCGGGCGTCTTGGCTGCCTCGACGCGCCCGCTGTGGTAAACAGCACGTGCCGTGCTCAAAGCGTCCGTGCAAACCCGTTGCGTGTTGGCTCCACGTCTTGGCCCGCGCCTCGGCGAACGTCTCGCGTCAGACCTACACGCGGCCCGGATCCGTAGGTCGACCCTGCCAGATCAAGGGTACCCTTGTGTCCTGTGCCTCGCGACCAATGCCTCCTGCATTTCTATGGCAATGTGGCCCTCGGAAGGGTCTTGCGTCCTCTCGCGTGTCCTGTCCAATCAAGGCCGACTGTAACTTTTCAGTCTACGTGTTGGGCTCCGTATCAGTACGCTGCGTATTGCGCGTTGCGTGCCGGGGCGGCTAAGGCGGGCGTTCATCCAGCGGGTGGTGGACGCGGTGGACCAGCGGGCCGCGGCGCCACCGCCAACAAGTGGCGGCGCGGCGATGGGCGCCGACGGCGGCTTGGCGGAGGTGCTCGACTTTGGCAGCTTCGCGCGGTACTTCGTGCTGCAGGAGCTCGCGGTGGACATCGACGGCTACGCCTTCTCCGACTACGTCGCCGTCAGGGGCGGCAGGCTTGAGCACGCCGCTCCTTGGGACTACGACCTGGCCTTCAACTTCGAGTGCAGGCCCCTGTACTTCAACAACGCCTACACGGGGGAGAACTCCGCTAACAGCACCGGCGGCTGGAATGTGGAGAACGTACGCGACAGCGCCAATTGGTTCGGGCCGATGGGTGACTCGGGGGGCAGCGTCAAGTATTTCGGCACGAACAGGAGGCAGCTCTTCCTGAATATCTGGGGCCAGCCCTCCTTCAGGGAAGCGTTCGTGGACGCATGGAGAGAGGCACGCAGAGGGGCACTCACAGACGAGGCTTTGATGAGCATGGTGGAGGGTCACGCAGCGCAAATCGAGCCCGCCGCGCAACACGACATTCGCTTGTGGAGCAATTCGGAGCGCTGTGCCTTTTTCGAGTGCTGCCACCCAGAGGACAAGACGGATTTTCGTTCCGCAACGCTCCACCTGAAGCAGCATTTGCTGTCACGTGCGCGGTGGATTGACTCTCACGTTGCCAGGCTGCTCTGAGGGTACCAGAGCTACGTCCGACGGCACTGTGTGGCGAGGATGTTGCAGGTATCCCTCTCCTCGCCGCGTCCCCCCAGTTCTCCCCCTCTTCTTTCCGTGCGCGTGGCGCTTGCTATTGGAGCGCGTCCGCAATAGGCAGCGCGCATGGCACCCCAGACCTCCTCTCGTCGTCGAAGGGTCATGACGGGAGGTTTTTGGTAGTTTCCAGCCCTGGGGGGCCCTCACCGGACCGCGGAATCATCCCACAGAATCCGGGGTGGGAAACCTGTCCCAGAGAAGGGGTCGCGACGTTATGATCGGGCCGGGCGAAAGGGGGGTTACGAAATTTGCTGCATGCAGCTGGATTCGGCCTCACCGAGGGGCCCATTCCTCGATACATAGCCGCCTCCGGGCGCCGGGAGGCGCCAGGAAAATCAGCTACGTGAGCGGATTCTCAAACCCCCCTTTTGCTATCCCTTCCTTTCGCCCGACCCGATATGAGCAAATCGCGATGTTGGAGATCTGGGGCTGGCTACCCCGAGCGCCTCGCCGCGTGCAGGTGTGCTCACCGGCACGCGGGCTCCCTAATACGCCAGATTTTGGACACGGCCATGGCATGCTCCCTCCCCTCGGCGTCATGAAGGCGAAACCGATCGGGAGGGCGACGAACAGTTGGATGCGGACAGAGAGCTCTCCAACGTATCCAAGGCCCTCGCAGTGCCAGACGATCTTGGCTATCTTGACTAGTTGGCGGTGGTAGTGCGGCGGTGGCACTATGACGGTGCCAACTAGGCCGTGGGCATCACTGCTTGAATCGTTGTTTCGTCCGAGGTGGCATTTCCCTTAGGCAGCAGCGTGGGTGCGACAGTGTGCATACGCATGGCATAGTTCAATGTTTTTTATATCGCAACGGGACTAAGTAGCACATTGCGCAGTAGCTCGTGAGCTGTAGGCCTCTACCTGTGTCCCAGCGCCCCCGTTCTCGCTATCTTCGTCAAGTGACAGCTAGCGTATCATTGAATCGGGTCGGTCGTTGTGAGACCAGCGTAGTGGTATGCCGCAGCTGGGTGTAAATCGCCGCAGTAGGCTCTAATATCCTCGCGATTGATCGCGTATCACTGGCATTCCGTTGGAGACGCGCCGCGGTTGAACAAATCGGACGGGCAAAGGCGGCTCAGAAGCGAGAGGTAGCGAGGGGCCAGTACAGCGTCAACGAAGGACATGGACACGAAAGGAAGGGGTCCTAGTCCATGGGGCTTTCCCCAATACCAGGTCGGCTCTTCATCCAGCGTAGTCTTCGACTCTACCAGGGCCCGCAGAAGGCCAGAGCAGTCCGAAAGCGGCGAAACTCATCAAGGACCCCGTGGCCTCCAAGTCCCGTTTCTTTCTTCCTAAGGTATCGAGGCCGTAGTGGGCTTCGGAAACGATGGGGGCGTTTTTTAGATGTTGCGGTTTGCCGTTTTTTGAGGGTTCTGACGCTGTGTTTGTTGTCGCTTCCGTCGTCGTTTTCCCGGTGCCAATCCCAGAGCAATTTTTTGGCCGTTTCCGGTCGCGTTTTTGTTGCTGCTGCCATGTTCAAGGGACATCTTTTCGGGCACATTCATTGTGACAGGGTCCACTCATTGTGACAGGGCTCAGACGGGCGACGATGCCGACCCAGGCATGCGACGTCCTGACTTTTTCGGGACGGTGTTCCTGGACGTCCTGACCCTTTCCCCGGTTCCAGTGCTTCGTCCCGAGTGTCGTTTTTTGACGGTGCCGAGGCCCGGCGAGGGCCCTCTGAGACCGAAACTACGGAGCATTTTCTTTGGGTGGAGGGCACAAAGTGAACTCTGAAATGCCGATGCCGTTTCGATGGATTTTCGATGCTTGAATTTGCAAGCGGTGAATCACAAGGCGGATTGATTCTCGAGGGGCGAAAGCCCATATAGATTTCACCCTGAGCCCTCCACCCTAAGAAAATGGTCAGAACTAGGCAAAAACCTCCCGCCCTGAATTCGTTTTACGACGCAAGCATTTCTCGGGATGGGAGGAGGAGGCACAGGCAGAGGGCACTCTCGACCCTCCCCCCCCTGCGGTCTCCACCGGGGGCGCTCCACGACGGGACTCGCCCTCCAGGGAGCGAGAGGCGGCTGCCCCTCCCTCGTGGGAGGCTGGCGGGGGTTTGGGTTAACAGAAGCTGGGCTCGCCCGCCGGCGGGAGGTCGGCGCACGTGGGCGGAAGCAGAAGGTGTGCCCCCGAAGGACATGTGTCAACACTGCGGGTGCATCCCGGAGCGGGCCACCAGGGTAGTGTCCGGAGCGGGGGTCATCATGTGGCAGCCAACATGGCATGGGCCTGCAGCGGGGGCACGCAGTGCTCTGCCCTGTGTGGCGGGAGGCCTCCGGTGGCCGCTTTAGGGCTCTGGAGGCCCGCAGAGGGCCAGCCAGGTCGAACACGTGCTGATTGTTTCTCGAAGGACGGGGGCTCTGGGCATCGGCAGTGCATGCGACGTGCGACGCTCACGATCTTGCAGAGGAAGCCCGGGCTGAGGCCCAGCAGTGCGCGGTCCTGGCTCCTCCCCCAAGAGATGGAGGCGCGGGAGGAGGAGGAGACAGCTACAGTCAACCCGCACAGTAAGGATGGGCAGCCTTCCCAAGGGTACCCTGGCATCCATGCCTCCTCGGTCCATCCTTCGTCACTTTCGTTGGCCGCGCCCCGCTGGGAAGGCTTCGAAATAGGCGTCCAAGGCCCTTGCATCACCAGACATGCGATGCCTTGATTTTTCCCTACCTAGGCTCTGCCTAGAAGGGTTCTTACTCTCTTTGCTTAAAGGGCCGGGCAGTGCTAACCGCCCTGGGCGGTTCCCCCAGTCCCCGCCCCGCGGTTCCCCCAGTCCCCTGGGAGCTTTAGCCTTAGCTTTAGCTTTAGCTTAGTTTTAGCTTTAGCTTTCGCTTTAGCTTAGCTTAGCTTTAGCTTAGTGTTAGCTTAGCTTTAGCTTTAGCTTAGCTTTAGTTTAGCTTTAGCTTAGCTTTAGCTTAGCTTTAGCTTAGCTTTAGCTTAGCTTTAGCTTAGCTTTAGCTTAGCTTCGGCTTAGCTTTATCTTAGCTTTAGCTTGGTGTTAGCTTTAGCCTTAGCTTAGCTTTAACTTAGCTTTAGCTTAGCTTTAGCTTAGCTTTAGCTTAGCTTCAGCTTAGTGTTTGCTTAGCTTTAGCTTAGCTTTAGCTTAGTGGTAGCTTAGCTTCAGCATAGTGTTAGCTTAGCTTTAGCGTAGTGTTAGCTTAGCTTTAGCTCAGCGTTAGCTTAGCTTTAGCTTAGCTTTAGCTTAGCTTTAGCTTAGCTTCAGCTTAGCTTTAGCTTAGCTTTAGCTTAGCTTTAGTTTAGCTGCAGCTTAGCTTTAGCTTAGCTTTAGCTTAGCTTTAGCTTAGCTTTAGCTTAGCTTTAGCTTAGCTTTAGCTTAGATTCAGCTTAGATTCAGCTTAGCTTTATCTTAGCTTATCTTAGCTTTAGCTTAGCTGCAGCTTAGATTTAGCTTAGCTTTAGCTTAGTGTTAGCTTAGCCTTAGCTTAGCTGTAGCTTAGCTGTAGCTTAGCTTCAGCTTAGCTTTAGCTTAGCTTTAGCTTAGCTTTAGCTTAGCTTTAGCTTAGCTGTACTGTTACTACTAATGCTGCTTTCCTAGGGGCTCCAACTCCTAGGTATGGTCGCACTGGGATAATTTCTGGACGGCGTTCCTGGAAGTCCCGACACTTTCGCTGGTTCCTGTGTTTCGTCCCGAGTTGTTTTTTTACAGTCCCGAGGCCCAGCGAGGGCCCTCTGAGACCGAAACTAGGCAAAAACCTCCCGCCCTGACTTCGTTTTACGACGCAAGCATGCCTGGGTCCGTATCGCGCATCCTCACTCTACGGGTTGACTGTACTGCCTCCCGCCGGTCTCGAGAGCATGTCAGCTGCGACCGGCTGGCCTGCGCTCTCAGCGACATGCCGATGCCCCCATGTCCTGCGAGCGGAGGAGGATCGGGAGTTGTTCCAGAACCAGACATGATCACGTCGTTAAGCAAGAAATCAGGGCAAGAGGTTTTTGCCAGGGGGACGCAGGAGGGGGAGGGGCGCAGGAGGGGGACGGGGGTGCAGCGCCGAGGGGTGTGTCGGCTGATCCCCTCGGGCTGACCGTGGAGGAACACCCAGACATGATCGCGTCGTAAAACAAAAGAATCGCGACGGGAGGTTTTTGGCTATTTTCGGCCCCGGGTGGCCCTCGCCGGGCCTCGGGACCGTCAACAAAAATGAATGGGGACGAAAAACCGGTCCCGGGGAGAGGTCGGGACTTCAGGGACGCCCTCCGGAGAAATTCAGGACGTCGCATGTCTGTGGGTGTGTCCCTGGCCCGAGCTGCGCCCAGCTTGTCGCTCCACTGTGGAGCCCCATGAGGCCCCTTGGCCGCGTGACGGGTGCTCTGGAGGCCTTGGCGGCCTCCTGGGAGATCCCGGGGGCACCCTGCGCGCCACAAGCATAAGCTTTGGCGCTCCGCGCGGATTTCTTGAATCCGCTCTGGACCCTCCTCCCTGGCGCGCGGAACGCGCCAGGGGCGACGCCAGAGAAGGGGGTCCCAGCGCAGCTCCAAGCAATCCGCGCGGAGCGCCAGAAGTTAATGTTTATGGTTTGTTTCTTCTTCTAGAGGGCTCTTTGGCAGCACCGCAGAGGGAGCTGCGCCCGCGCAGACGCGCGCCCCGCCCCCCTCCTCCTCCTCCTCCTCCCCCTCCTCCTCCTCCTCCTCCTCCCCCTCCTCCTCCTCCTCCTCCTCCTACTCCTCCCCCCCCTCCTCTCCTCCTCCTCCTCCTCCTCCTCCTCCTCCTCCTCTCCTCCTCCTCCTCCTCCTCCTCCTCCTCCTCCTCCTCCTCCTCCTCCTCCTCCTCCTCCTCCTCCTCCTCCCTCCCCTTCTCCTCCTCTGCGCGGTGCCCGCACCCGCGCCCGCCCTCGTGGCTCCGAGCCGCCACGGGCCGCCTCGGCAGCCCCCCCGGGGCGCGCCGCCCCTCGACGCGCGCG